AAATTCACAAAACAATAGTCTGTATTCTGTACCCTCTAGTGTTGATTTTTATCAACGGTCATTCTTCCGTCCATATATCTATTATGTGATTCATTTCTTCATTGACAAATTCAAGATGTTTTGGCAGCATGGGATGTAATTTGAAATATATATTCTGTATTTCATTGGGTCCGAAAGCATTCTTAGGCAAATAAAATGCATTTATACAAGTTCTTTTCAATATCTATTTAATGACTAATCGAATTTTAAAAATTAATTTAAAAATTGAAAATTAGTGAAAGTGAATTTAAGTCTCAGTTAATTTATAGTCAAAGAAACGCACCTTCTTCCCGGTGAGCTCAGAATGGAATCTTTGATCAATTAATCTAAAACAAATAATTTCTAAAGGGACCAAGCTAAAAAAAAAAAACCAGAAGACTACGATAGTAATATATATTTACATGGACGTAACCAGTAAAACAAGACTACTACAATACTTTTATATGTAAAGGGACGTAACCATTAAAACAAGACTGCAATACTTTTATATGTAAAGGGACTTAACCAGTAAAACGAGACTACAATACTTTTATATTCAAAGGGCCTTAACCTTTGTGAAACAAGACAACAATACTTTTATATGTAAGGGGACATAACCAGTGTGAAACAAGACTACAATAATTTTATATGTAAAGGGACATAACCAGTGTGAAACAAGACTACAATGCTTTTATATGTAAAGGGACATAACCAGTGTGAAACAAGACTACAATGCTTTTATATGTAAAGGGACATAACCAGTGTGAAACAAGACTACAATAATTTTATATGTAAAGGGACATAACCAGTGTGAAACAAGACTACAATACTTTTATATTCAAAGGGACTTAACTAGTGAGAAACAAGACTACAATACTTTTATATTTAATGGGACGTAACCAGTAAAACAAGACTACAATACTTTTATATTCAAAGGGACTTAACTAGTGTGAAACAAGACTACAATACTTTTATATGTAAAGGGACTTAACCAGTGTTAACAAGACTACAATACTTTTATATGTAAAGGGACTTAACCAGTGTAAACAAGACTACAATACTTTTATATTTAATGGGACGTAACCAGTAAAACAAGACTACAATACTTTTATATTCAAAGGGACTTAACCAGTGTGAAACAAGGCTACAATACTTTTATATTCAAAGGGACTTAACCAGTGTAAACAAGACTACAATACTTTTATATTCAAAGGGACTTAACCTTTGTGAAACAAGACTACAATACTTTTATATTCAAAGGAACTTAACCTTTGTGAAACAAGACTACAATACTTTTATATTTAAAGGGACGTAATCAGTAAAACAAGACTACAGTACTTTTATATTTAAAGGGACTTAGCTAGTGCGAAACAAGACTACAATACTTTTATATTTAAAGGGACTTAACTAGTGAGAAACAAGACTACAATACTTTTATATTTAAAGGGACTTAACCAGTAAAACAAGACTACAATACTTTTATATTCAAAGGGACTTAACTAGTGTGAAACAAGACTACAATACTTTTATATGTAAAGGGACTTAACCAGTGTAAACAAGACTACATTACTTTTATATTTAAAGGGACGTAATCAGTAAAACAATACTACAGTACTTTTATATTTAAAGGGACTTAGCTAGTGCGAAACAAGACTACAATACTTTTATATTTAAAGGGACTTAATCAGTGTAAACAAGAATACAATACTTTTATATTCAAAGGGACTTAACTAGTGTGAAACAAGACTACAATACTTTTATATGTAAAGGGACTTAACCAGTGTAAACAAGACTACATTACTTTTATATTTAAAGGGACGTAATCAGTAAAACAATACTACAGTACTTTTATATTTAAAGGGACTTAGCTAGTGCGAAACAAGACTACAATACTTTTATATTTAAAGGGACTTAATCAGTGTAAACAAGAATACAATACTTTTATATTTAAAGGGACTTAACCAGTGTAAACAAAACTACAATACTTTTATATTTAAAGGGAAGTAACCAGTAAAACAAGACTACAATACTTTTATATTTAAAGGGACGCAACAGTAAAAACAAGACTACAATACTCACATATAAAGGGACATAACATTAAAATCAAGACTACAATACTTTTATATCTAAAGGGACGTAACCAATTAAACAAGACTACAATACTTTTATATATAAGGGACGTAACCATAAAAACAAGACTACAGTACTTTTATAAATGCTTAGACCTACAAAGTTTCATTACAATTCCTCAAAAGAAATTTTTTTGAAGGGGGGCTCAACAATAGCGACTGGACAGGTCATTTAAGTCATCTGATTTTTTAGGGAGGCCTCCCTGTAATTACAAGTCTGGTAATTGTTTCACAAGTCCGTACCTTATGAAATCGATACAGATAAGACACTATAGTACAATGACAGGAATTAAATAGCCTTCTCCCTATTCGATATTTGTAAGTGTTCAGGAATTCCATAATGTCAGGACAATGGTAAAGTTGGTCATATTTTCAGCCATTGATCATTTACTATACTTAGTCTAATCCCCATGAATATTCAGAAAGTGGCACATGACTATGAAGGATGTTGTACCAAATCATCAAACCGATCCAGATCCAACTACCATGACAACCAACAGATACCTAGTTTGCAATTTCAGCTTTAGCTTGAAGCAAGTGTTGATTTACTGGAAACCAATCTAAGGTGTATTGCAAAGGGACAGAGTGAGGGTGGAGTGGGGGGGTGTATAAACCAGCTAGAAATTTTGAAACTAAAAGACAATATATGGCTTTAAATATTTACATTTAATCAAATATTAGATAAACAAATTACAATCAATTCAATTTTGTTAGTCAAAACATTCTCAAAATACACTGTTTAAAGCATTTAGCAAATTGCTCTTAGGTATTGTAAGCTCCATTGTAGAAATATTTAAATTTAAGCAAGTTAAAAGGCAAATTTAGGCAAGACTTATTTCAGATTCCCTAAACAGAATAAAATTCATGCTTGGAAGAAAAAAGAACATTTGTTCACCTTGTCCAAAGTTTTGACAAATAATACTTTTAGACTTGTTTGATAAAAATTGATTTTATGAGAAACAATCATTTAGAGTAATTACAATTTAATTTTTACTATAAGTTTGTGGAATAAAATTCATAACTGGAATTTTATAAGAAAAAAGAACATTTGTTCACTTTGTCCAAAGTTTTGTCAAATAATACTTTTAGACTTGTTTGATAAAAATTGATATCATAAGAAACAATCATTTAGAGTAATTACAATTTTTTTTAACTATAATTTTGTGGAATATACTTCAAAAAATTTGAAATGACAATGCACATAAAATAAAACAAACACAAACATGAAATATTATTTTGGACATTACAATTATTTCTATAGCATACCCTCAAAATTTCAATTAGCACTTTTATTAAACAGAAATTATATCACAACACATAACATAGAGAAATTTATAATAAACTGTGCTCCTAGATAAAGATTTATAATAAAATCAGAACTAAATTTATAACTAATATTTATAACTAATACTAAATTATACAATAATTTTTATATTTCTTTATATTTTTTATAATATATATACAATAAGTACTTAGCAATTAAAAATTTCCCAAAAATTTTTTTTTTTTTATATAGATCGAAGTAGATAATTAGAAATTAGATCAAATTTTTAATGACTATATTATTATGGTTTCATGCAAAGTACACTTCTCAGGGGCCAAAATTTTGTGTTAATTTACAATAAAAATCATTTTCGACCTCAGGGCTTGTTGTTCACACTACTGGCAGAGCAGGGTGGCACAGAGAACAGTGGTGTGGATAGGCGTTCACATATAAGCAGAGGAAGGCCACTGGAAATCAGTCGTTCGCTATGAAGATTTTTTGAGTGCTTTCCTATAACTTGACAGCCATGCTAATTAAATAGTGGACAATCACCAGCTGCAAGCTGAAAATAATACAGCCTTGATTTCCCCAGTGTGTTTCTCTATTCCACTCAGCTGAGCATCTGCTTCAAAACACTCTGCTCAGCTTGAAGAGTGAACAAGCCCTAACAGAACTTAAAATTTACATAGTATTAAGATTCTCAAAGTTCAAGAGTCAATGTTTCTAACTTTGATTTTTTGGTCAAGCTGTGCTTTGAAATTTGCATTTCCCTGACTTAATAGTGATTCCAATGTACTTGAATAATATCATGAAAAGTGCTGTGAGAATTTCAAAGAAATGAGCATTGAGAGAAAACAACTTCAAATATGTCTTTAAATGCAAATTGGTAACAATGTAGGCATTTTTCATGAAAAGATATTCAAATGAATTTATATATTGTCACAGAAGGAAAATTCAAAAGAAAAACACCCCTATTTTGTAAATGAACTGTTCTAAACATACAAAACAATGCATCATTATGATTTAAAGAATGCATGTATGGAAGAGTTCAATAATGGATTGAGGGGTGTCAAATATACAATGGACACTTTTCTTGCGGTAACAGTTCACCTTTGGTTATATTTTGAAAATTTTCATTCAAGACTAGTAAAGAAGATTGAAATATTAACATTTAGATTTTAGATTTAAACCTAAATTGCTAGTAGAGATACCAGTACTAAAAATACTAAATAGAGTATGGACCTAAAAATTGTCTTTACAGTCCGATACAATGAAAAGATAAGAAAACTTTAGAAAAGAAGTCCTAAAAATTTGTCCCAGGAGAACACATGACAATCTCAGAATAATGGGACAAAAACAGAGCCAGTATATAGAAAAAGATAATGAAATTTTTCTTTCTTTCAAAGTTTCTGGTCTAATTTGAAGCATTTTCTCAAGTCGGGTTAAGGAAAGCTTTAAGCAAGAACGACATGTTTACACAAATTATGACTGAATCACAAATGAGTGGACATTTAAATTTAAAAGTTAAACGGAAAAAACAAAACAAAAAATACCGTCAGCAGTACAAAAAGTCGAAATGAAATATACCAAGCCACTCAAAGAAGATCTATCTAGAGTATTTGTACATGCCAATATTTCCAGAAATCTAAAACACCTAGAAAAGCTAGATTCTGTGAAAGATTTTTTGATTAGATTATTCCTGAAAATGCCAAAAGAATTAATTTTGCAAGTTACTGGACACTCATTCAATGCCAAGGAATTGTATTAATCAAGCCAAATGATCATCAAATGCCATGGCCCAGAAAAATGGGTAAGTACATCATTGGTAATTTTGTGACAAAAATTCTGTAAACTTTTGGCAATATTTTTGTTGTTGAGGTTGTTTGTTTAGATGTGGTTTGAAGAGATCACTGGTGGCTGACAACAGAAAGGAAGAGAAATCTACCAAAGTTTGGTGGTAGGTCCTCCTGGTGGATTGGTAACACGAGATGAAGTCCTGACATCCTGGGCTTTACCACTTACAGACTGCATTGTACCTGGTCCATCAGCGGCAGAAGGTAATGGTTTATAGTTACTTGTTGGTACTGGTTTCTACAAGAAAAAAAAAGGAACAATGTCTTGCAGGAATCATTGTTGGCTGGAGACAGAAAGGACTTCTGATATAAAAATCCCTTTTCCACAAAAATAACTCATGAGGATCTGGTCTACCAGCTGGTCCTTGGCCAAACCTCTTAATACTGATCTTTTCTGATTGCCCATTTACAGCTGGAACCACAGAGATAATGCTCTACAACCTTTTCTTCATTAACATACTCGTTCCAGGTGGTGACTGACAAATATCTAGAAACTTTAAAGAAGCACTGGTGTTGCATCGTTGAGGGGACCCATAGCACCGCTAAGTAGGTCTATAGCAACCCTTGTAAGGCCATTACAAAAATACAAAGGAAAATCCTGTACCCAAAAAAATATAACAGATGAAAACTTACCGGTGGTGGTTGATGACAAGCAGTTGTTTCATATTTTTGACCAGTGATAGGATCATAGTTACCTAAAGAAAAAAAAAATTAATAAGTCAAACAACTGATAAATGATGCTTTATTGTTCTTGATAATGGATTTAATCAATTTTACTTGAAAAGACATGATTATTTTTATAATTACTAGTCCAATTATTTTGTAATCTATCATCATGAGTTTACTTTAAAATACTTAATATTGAATAATTTTTCAATTTGTTAATCTAATAACAAGCTTAAGCTTAAGTAAAAGCATTTTAAAGAGACAAAAAAATGAACGAAAATGTAAAATATAATTATGGTTGCATTCAAAGGAGATTCCAAAGTGATTTTCTATGTGTGTTTGCATGTTTTAGAAGACACTTCTTGTTTGCAATTTCAATAATTTCCCCTCCCTCTCAAAATTTTTTTTGACTCATTTTGATATTGCTACTTCAAAGACTAAAAGGTTTGTCCATAGTGAAGATATAATTTGATCGAGTTTTTCTGGAATTGCAGGAATCACAAATTGGAATTGTCTCAGATAACACATAAATATCAGAAAATCTCTTCCAAATAACCTCAATGCCTTAGACACTTAGATGCCTCAATTCAATATAAAATTTGAATCCGTTGTGCCTGAGACAAGAATAATTCAAAGGCATTATAAGTAAACAAACAAAATTAAAAAATAAATAAAAACATACAAAATGCAAAATTGTGTTCAGTGCAAAGAAATACTATAAATGTGATTAAAATACTAAGTGACAGTGGAAAAATAGATAAGATACAACAGCATAAAGCTTGGTTAAAATTTCTGTACACAACATCTAAAAGACTACAACGGCTAATAATGAAAATTATCTAATGATGACTGCCAGGAATAATTAATGATTTAAGACAGCTAAAAGACTACAACGGCTAATAATGAAAATTATCTAATGATGACTGCCAGGAATAATTAATGATTTAAGACAGCTAAAAGACTACAACAGCTAATAATGAAAATTATCTTATGATGACTGCCAGGAATAATTAATGAATAAGACAGCTAAAAAGACTACAACAGCTAATAATGAAAATTATCTTATGATGACTGCCAGGAATAATTAATGAATAAGACAGCTAAAAAGACTACAACGGCTAATAATGAAAATTATCTTATGATGACTGCCAGGAATAATTAATGAATAAGACAGCTAAAAAGACTACAACAGCTAATAATGATTATCCAATGATAATTGAAAAAGGATGATTAATGAAGAGGGTTTAATATTTTAAGATAAAGTTGTGGTATACAAGACAACAAAAAATACTACAACAGCTAAAAAAAGGGAGGGGTCAAGATACAGAAAGACTTGTTAGTAGTCACAGTGGGATATAAGCTTAATAAGACAGAAAACAGGGAAAGAAAAGCAAATAAAATATTTGGTGAAGTTTCATGAAATACCTTCCTTGGTTAACCTAAAATCTCGAAATGTTATGATATCATAACCCTTACCCTAAATAATATAATATATTTTGATCCTACCCTAGTGTAATATAGGCCTACATTGGATTCGAATGCTACAAATTGGAACTCAGGGCTCATAACTGTACATATTAGTTTCCTATTATTATAACTCTCAGTAACTTTTATTTAAACAATAAACTGTTACCCTATGGCGGTTATGGTCACATATCAGAACAAAGGTTGGCTGGAACATTGAATAAATGCGCATTAATAACTGTCATAGGGTAACAGTTTAATGCTTATATTTACGTTTTCAAGACATTCTAATTTTGATACAAAGACTTTAGTATGAATTTAAGTAGGGCCTATTTCTTTAAGTTTCAAGGTTTGGGACTACCGACATGATTGTTTACATTGGAGACCCTCTATTTGATACAATGACGTCAATGAATAACAACGTCAATGGTTAAAATTACCATGCCTATTGTTTTGGTGATGAGGCAATGGCTTTTATGGTGATATAAACGCCACACGAATTTGTATTAGTCATAGGGAAAAAAAAATAGCTAATATATAGCCAATAATGAAAATTGTTTAAGACAAAAATTTTGGAGTGAATTAGCAATGAATGGCGGGCACACTGAGCACTTTGCACTGAAAACAAAGTAAATAACAGGAATGTTATGGTTTTTTTTAACATGGTCAATATGTATACCTCTCCTAAGTTTATTTATACGTTCCCTATTGAGTTCTTTGGCCGTTTTCACTTTTGGCTCTTTACAATCTATTTGAGAATTCAAAAGGGTCGGTTTTAAATTTTTTGAATTTTCAATGAAGAGGTTTTGAGTACGTCTTTGAGGTATACAAAATTACAATAAAATCTGGATTTAAAAAAGCCATAAACTTTTAACTTTGAAATAAATTTTAGTGATTGACCAAATGTAAGGAATACTGGACTTAAGCAAGCACTTGGTTAAACTGGCCCCTTCATGAGTCGTGAACTTTGTAAAGAACAATCAAAACAAAATCACAATAAGAAATTTTCTCCAATTTTAACTGACCCATAACCAATCAACATTGTGTGTTAAGCTCTTGCAATAACTTTAAGTGAATTTTTGATTTGACAAAAGATAACATGGTGAAATGTTTTAAAATCCAAACTAATCATAAGGCTTAGAATTATCTTGTGACAGTAATAACTACAAAAACTTGCAATTTTTGTGTCTTAAAGTACTTGAAAATCTAAGCTGAATCTTAGCTTAGAAAGCTTAAAATCCTGATGAATTCTGACTATGTTAAATTACTGAAGCTTATAACATGTACGGTATGAGCTTATTGAAAAAAATTGCTTATGTTTTATGAAAATTAAGCTCACGATACTCGTCTTATCGTGACAAGAGCTTAAGCTTACTTGACTATTTGTCACAAGAGCTGCTAAGTATAATGCCTTATAAGTTATATCGAAAATTGCCTATTCCTATCCCAATTTTAAAACTAACTCCTAATTTTGTTTTATTTTAAGACATACCATTAGAGTCATTTCTCTTTTTTGCATCTACATCATCACCTTCACCAAATATATTGCTATGGGTGTTACTGGAAGAAGATCTACGAGGAGCCACAACATCATTACAATCACCAAAAATACGACTTTTAGAATCAGAACCTCTTGTCTGTGGTAAGATCTTGACAACATGCTCACTCTCTCCAAAAGGAGCTTTAGTTGTTCTCTGTTGTTGCTGAGGAGCAACATGTCCTCTTTGAGATTGTCTTGCTGGTGCTGGGTCTGGTTCCCCGCCAAAACAAATATTGGAACCTCCTCCTGGTGGTTTTAAAACCCTGAAAATTTCAATAGAAGATTTATCATCATATATTCAAATAATGATTGACAGTTATAAAGCTCAACTAGGCCCTATCTACTCTGTAGGGTAGGCCATGACAATTGGCAGAATACATAGGAATATTATGTACACAGGCTAAAATAAAGAATGAGAATAATAGGCCTATATAATTGATCTATCTCGATTAATTGTAATTCTATATAAGAATGATTACCCTTACTACAGACATTAGAGTGAGACATAAGGATACTACAACTACAAGCAACCCAAGCAAGGTTGTTGTACAGCGTCATCATAATTTATCATCTTTCAGTCATATTTTTAACAAACAAACAAATGAAATAGATACTAAGAATATAGCACTGCTTTCAATGTCTGTAACCACATAAAATATTTAAAAGGCGTAATTCAACTTAATTGTAGTCTTGAAAGATGATTTGAAAATTAGAGTTGCGTCCCTTACACCTTATAGAAAAAACAGAGATTGACCGCCTTTCTTTTTATGAGCAATAAAACATTATGACGAATCCATTCTCAAGTTAAATATGTTTACCTGAACTTTGGAAATGTATGTTACGAATGCCGATAGTTGATGAAATGTCCGGGTTGTCAAAAAACCTGGTTCCTTGTAATATGACATAAGCACACCCAACAAAACAAAATCAAACATGGCAGCTCTCTCTCATCTGCGACAATTTTTGCGTATTTCACCAAGAAAGACATAACAGATCACTTACTTTGACGAAGGTTTGGAAGTCTCATTCAAGCCTTGGTTTATTCCTGTCGAAGTCATGGTTATTTTTAATGCACGATCGTTTTAAAACGTTTCTTTATAAATGAGACAGGTCGACCGACTTCGCCCAAATACACTTCGTTCGAATTTCACGCAGATATTGTGACGTCATCATTTTATGCTCACATGTTAACCCAGTGAGAGCTGTCCATTGGGTTATTTCGGAGACAATTCGGCTTAGCGTTAATCCGTTGACACTGCTTCCAGTTAATCTACATTAATCCCCGATTAATTCATTTGGGATGATTAACAAATGAAAGTGTGAATGTAATTGTAAACAGTAGATGTTCGCGCACCTGTTTTGTTCCCTTAGAAGAACAAGATTGCTTCTGGAGTCTTAGTAACTTTATACTAAATAATAAGGCCTTCATTATGATACTTTTTTTTTTGATTGGGGGAGTTTGGTGGGGAAGAGGAGGAATTCTTTCATCCGGATATCTATATCTATACCATAAAAGTATATGGGGGGCTAAACAGCGCCTATTACAACCTTCTTGTCTCCTTCTCATTAAAGCAAAAAAGTAGGACGTAAAACTCCATTCATTTCATTTCATTCTCATTAAAGGGTGACACCCCCTGCAGTCGATCAGTATAAAAAGGTGTGATATACACTTATACAGTAGGCTACCTAGATTAGGTCACCTAGAGGGTCAACAGATTACCACACGAATTTTTTTTTGACGGGAGGGGGGGGGGGGGGGGGGACGGCTACAGTGTCTGCTCCAATAACCCTCTTGTCTCCTTTCATTAAAGGGTGACATCCCCTGAAACCGATCAATGATAAAGATGTGATACACAAGTCTCTGGATTAGGTTACCTAGAGGGTTAACAGATTACCTATCAAAGATTAATGCACCTCCAATCTGTCAGACTGTCTTAAAACAATAGAATTAAGTCGAGATACCCGCTGACGTGTGAAATACTTGATTTAATTATATATAGGTCTATACAAACAGGTTTCCAAAACTAGATTGCCTTGGGGTGAATCATTGGCAAAAAAGATATAAATGCCTTAAGGAATTATTTTACATGATAATTACTTGGCCTAGGCCCGACATTGTTTTTGCCTTTTAAAGGTACACTTACTTTGTCGCGTATGATGACACTGACGGCGCCAGTATGGGAATGGGGTGGGATTGTATCCTTATATTTCTAAGAATTTCAAAATAAGAGTTTTTCACGTTTTTATTCCCCCCCCCCCCCCCCAACTATCAGT